GGAGGTGGAGGTGGGGGGGGAGGAGGAAGGAGAGGAGGAGGAGGGCGGAGGAGGAGGAGGAAGGAGGAGGAGGCGGTGGAGGAGAGGAGGAGGAGGGAGGCAGGAGGAGCGAGAGGAGGGTGGTGGGTGAGGAGGAGGAGGAGGATGAGGAGGGAGGAGGAGGAGTGAAGGGACGGAGGAGGAGGAGGAGGAGGAGGAGGAGGAGGAGGAGAATAGAGGAGGAGGAGGAGGAGGAGGAGGAGGAGGAGGGGGAGGAGGGGGGAAGGAGGAGGAGGAGGAGGAGGAGGAGGAGGAGGAGGAGGAGGAGGAGGAGGAGGAGGAGGAGGAGGAGGAGGAGGAGGAGGAGTTGCACCCGAGCGGCCCGAGCGACACTGGGAGGGGCATGGGACGCGCAAAGACATTAGGAGGCAACCACTGGGAGGTTTTCGTCGGAAAGATGAAGGAGGATTAAGCCCCTTTTGGGAGGCTGTTACGCCGGAGTGGGCCTCGGACTAAGCGGGATTAAGCCGAATTGAGCGGGATGCAGCGGGATTAAGCCGGATGAAGCAGGATTAAGTTGGATTAAGCCGAATTTCGGACCAGGGCGAAAACAGAATTTGACCTCCCAGGAGTTGCATCCGAGGACATGGGACGCGCAAAGAAATACTAGTACTACATGTCCTCCTTTGAGGCGCGCGTCCGACCCGAACAGATAGTATACCCATCTTGTAACATATCGTTTCCCGAGCGGTGTGGCCAGGAAGCGCCGGCCACGACGCATATACTAGGAGATTTCTCGGTGCGCGCGTCGCCCCTGAGGGGCTTGTCGCCCTAGCGCCGCGCGCATTCTTTATAGAAATGTGTAAGAATTCACGGGTCTTCCCATGTACCAGAAATTGTGCTTTGGAAGGATTCGCGATTATGGGGGCGCAACAGGACGGCGCTAAGGCGCGACGGGGAGAGAGGGGCAGGGGGCCCATGGAGATTAGGATAGGGGAACGAAGGATGACGCAGACAAGAACACTCGGAGGTCCGAGTTGTTATGTTTACCTCATTCTTCGTTCCCTCAAGGAGGCAACTCCTGGGAAGTCTTCGTCAGAACGGGTAATCATCAACTACAAGATTCGGTGATGAACGAGGCAATTGGGCCTGACTCGGCCGAATCAGGCCCAGGATGAAGCCAGACTCAGCGGGATTCAGCCGAGTTAAGCGGGGCCTCGGGTTGTGCACCGAGAGCCCCCCCCCAGGCAGTTTCTGCTGGGCTCAACAGGCCTCCCGAGAGGTCCAAGCTGGCCTCAACAGGCCCCCCGAGTTGTCCGAGGCGGTCTCAACACCTCAACCCTGGGGCGCGGAGCGCCCCAAGGGCTGCCGGGGGCGGTGCGGGGGGCTGCTGCGGCCAGCCGGGACTACCTGGGAGGCTGTCTGTGCGCAACCCGAGGCCTTACCAGAGGGGTCCACGGATATGCTCGCGTCGTGTGTCGTAACCAAAGGCCACGACGGGGAGGTTTTGCAATTTTCGGCAACCGGGGGCCCTTACTGGGCCCCGGGACCGCCAGGAAAACGGCTCGGGATGAATTCGCTGGCCCGGGAAAAAAGGGTTGGGACTTCTGGGGACCGCGTTTGGAAAAAATCAAGACATCGCCTGTCTGGATAGTGGTTTTCGTCTTCGCTTGTTCGCCCCATCCCCAGCCCCGTTGTGCGCATACCCTACGCCCTAGCAAGTTCACAATGCCTGTCCCTTGTCTCTCTGCAGCGCCTCATACCTGCTGCGCGCTACTCGTTGTTGCAATGTCTGCAAAATTGCCTTCGTCGGTCTCATGGATTGCCGCATTGATGCTAAACTGTCTTGCCGTGCTCACGCTCCAACTCTTACGCGTGAAACCGTGCAACGAAAACAACGACAAATTATCCAGGATAGAAGAACCGAGAACGGACGCATATTTTTGAAGTTTGTTGTTTTCATCGCTCTCTCTAGATGTGTATATTTCACTCCCACGCTGCTACTCATGCAGGCTTCATCGGCCTGTCTGACGCTGCAACAGTTTTAGCGCATAGCTGGTACCCGTCAGACGAGCCAGGCACTTGCCTAACAACATGATGTATTGATGTATTTCGGTTTCTTGGTTTGAAATCGTCAGTGCACTTTGGTTGGAAAGAGACAAGGGGAAGCAGGGCAGGAGGTGAAGAAGGAGAGGACTCTCTAACCCCGAAAGGCCTTGGAGAGACATCACGTGCGTGGCACGGCGATGCAGATGCGACCCGACATGCAATATCTCGCTTCGTGGAAGAGGCTCGCATCGGTTACAGCGTTGTGGCATCAACACGTGTGCCTGCATGCGCCCAATGCACAAACAAAGCTGCTGATGGCAGTGGCCGGACATACTACTCCTCTTCATTATGTCACCTCTTCCTCACCCGTTCCTGGCTCACGTTCCTCCTCATCCTCCTTCGGGTCCTCCTGCTCCTCCTCCTCCTCCTGCTCCTCCTCCTCCTCCTCCTCCTCCTCAACCTCCGCCTCCCTCTCCTCCTCATCTCCCCCGCTCCCTCTTCGATCATCACCAGCATCACCATCGCGCCCTCGCCGTTGCCATCACCACTGTCCCGACTGCTGCCGCGACCGTCGCCATCATCCTGAAGGGGCCCTGGGACACACAAATAAATGCACACAAATAAACAGACTCCCCATACTTTCCCTTATTTTCTGGGTTCTTGTCTCCCCGCCCCATTCTCATATTATTTTCCCATATTTTCTGGGAATCGACGAAAAATTGTGTCCTCGGGAGCGGCCAAGAGGGGGGTGTCCAAGAGGGGGGGGTGCAAATCATGACCGGCGGCATGTGCGCGGCCCAGCGGGGGGGGCATGGGACGTGATAAAACAAGAAGAGGCGCCCTGAAATCTGAGGACAAATCATGGCCCGCGCCATGAAATCCCCCCCCCCTAGTCATCACCCCCCTCTTTTCCGCCCCCGATGTCCGTGTGTTTTTTCCGTCCTTTTCTTTTCTTGCGCAGGCTGCCGAGCGCACGCGCTCGTAGCGTCAGTTTTTTCCCTCCTTTTCTTGCGCAGGCTGCCGAGCGCACACGCTCGTAGCGTCAATTGTTTTTTTTTGTGTTTTCCCTCCTGATCCTCCTCCCGCTCCTGCCGCTCCGCGGCAGCGCGCGCGCGCGGCGCCGCGAGGCTCGGCGGACGAGGGCCTCTCCCGTGCGCCGCGGCCGGCGCGACGAGGCCGCGGCCGAGGCCCCCGCGCCTCCGGGGCGGCGGCGCGGAGCGCCCCGGGTCCTGGCTCGGGGCGGGGAGGGGAGGGCGGGAAGAAGGGAGAGAGAGGGAGCGCGAGAGAGAGAGAGAGAATGAGAGAGCACGAGGGAGGGGGAGAGACATAGAGCAAACATGTCCTCCTGTCACGCCTCCCCCCTCTGTGTTGTGTAATGTGTGTGTGTGAGAGAGAGAGAGAGTAGCTAGGCCTCCCACCCTTTTCCTCCTAGGAGCTCCTCACTGAAAGGACTCCGAAACCGGTCTTAGGGTATCCATCCTACAGAAACCCTTACCGAGGGGATCCTCTGTAAGGCGAGCGCACAGTGAGAGAGAGAGAGGGATAGAGAGAGAGAGAGAGAGTGAGAGAGAGAGGGATAGAGAGAGAGAGAGAGCGAGGGACCCCCGCCCCCGAGCATGGTCATCGAAAGTCAAATCCAACTCTTCTTGGCAATGGGCTGGAACGTCAAGGATCATGCTCGGGGAGTCAAGTGTTTCCTGTCCTGCAAGATTCCCTCATCTGTGTCACGATGCGGGAGGAAGGGGACGAAGGAGGAGGGAGACGATGAGTAGGAATATGAGGCGTGAGACCGCCAATGTCTCGTGTAGCAAAACGCATACTCCACAATCCCCTTGACTCCGAAAGCAGCAGCATGCAGGATAGAACGGACGTGGAGGCAGATGGGAGGTTGAAGGGCGGGAGGAGACGGATGAGAGCGGAGGAAGAAAAAAGGATATCGATGGTCACGGAGGGGGACGGAAATCGTAAGCGGGAAGGGGAACAGTAGCATCAACAGTAACATGAGCAATTTTTCTCCAGCCCCCATCCTGGCGACAGCACCATGGGCAACCAGACCTGAGCATCGCAGAACGCCTGAACACAAACACCAAACCCTGATTTTCGAGGCCCCTCTTCCTCCTCCAAGGAACCTGTGGGATCAGTGTCATGGGTGCGAGGCCGATCCAATGGTGTGCCGCCGGGAGCGTGAAACCCCCACTCCACAGGCCTGCGCCGCAGAGTGTGCTCCAGCAGATTGCGGGCAGGTCGCAGCCGCGGCTCTTGACTGCCGATGGCGAGGCGGGCTGACTGTAAAGACCCGCGGCACCCAACTGCGAACACCGGACATACACAGCTGCCGCGCCCAGTCACCGGCCAGGGTAGCAGCGAGGCCACTGGTGAAGAAAACCAGCGCCTCGGCGCGGGCTTTCCGGGGGAAGCCCTGACCTGGATCCGGGCGCGCTCCGCATGGGTGACACACCGCTCCAGCTTGCGGGAACTCGTGGGTTGCTCTGGGCATGCGAGCTCGGAAATCCAGGGCTACCCGGCGCGGGCGTTGGTGAGGGAGGGGGGTTCGGCAAAGCGCGGGTGGGAGGAGGAGGAGGAGGAGGAGGAGGAAGAGGAGGAGGAGGAGGAGGAGGAGGAGGAGGAGGAAGAGGAGGAGGAGGGGAGGAGGACGAGGAGGAGGAAGAGGAGGACGATGACGACGGCGACCAGGAAAAGGACAACGAGGACCAGGATGATAAGGAGGCGAGCGGGATAACAGCATTGAGGACCGGGGATTTTGGGCGCCTACGGGCCTCAGGAGACTCCCGAGGCCTCCGGGAACTTTTGAGGGGGAAGGAGGAGGAGGAGGAAAAGGAGGAGGAGGAGGAGGAGGAGGAGGAGCAGGAGGATGACGGAGAGCAGGAGGAGGAGGAGGTGGAGGAGGAGGAGCAGGAGGATGATGGAGAGCAGGAGGAGCAAGCGGGCCGCGCGCGGGCCACTGCGTCAGCCGCGCTGCGGGTAGAGGCAGTAGTGCTGCGCAACGAAGATCACGTCGAACAGCATCGACACGTTGCCCAGGAGCAGCTTCGCGGGGTCCCCCGAGACGGCGCTCCAATCGCCGCTCGCCCACCCGTCCAGGACGAGCTGGGCCACGCTGAGCCCCCCCCCGGTGAAGTCGAGCAAGACGTTGGAGATGTTCCACCCGTCCGTGCTCCTCCGCCTGCAGTTCATCCACACCTGCGGGCAGTACTTGCAGGTGGAGATGACGACCTTCACCTCCGCCAGCAGCTGCAGGTACGTGAGCCAGCTGGCCACGCGCTCGGAGCTGGCCCAGATGGCTGCCGCCAGGGCCAGGGCGACCGCGGCGAAGGCGGACAGCCCGCTGGCGACCACGCGCCGCAAGCCGCGGTCGGCCCCGTCCCTGGGAGGGTAGTCGTAGTACACGGCAATCTGCAGCAGGGTCACCGAGGTCAGAACAAACGCGTGTCCAGCGAAGACGACGTCGTTGAGCCTCACTGCGCTAGGCTTCCCCCCATAATGGCTCTCGTACTCCAGCTGCACTGGGCGGCTCCAATACAGGGCCGCGTTGAACACGAAGTAGCACGCGAAGCCAGCAAAGTTCAGGAGCTGGTAGTCCAGAGAGAGGCCCACAACGCTGCGCCTCTGGAAATTCTGGACGACCTGGGGGTAGAACGACACGCTCCAGGCGCAGAAATAAGACCAGCCGAGCATGGCAGAAACGCGCCTCCATGGCCCCGGAATGCCAGAGGCCTCTGGCAGCGGCGCCAGCAAGCCGCACAGCGCTCCGGCAAGAGGCGGGGCCAACAACCAAAAGCGCTCCAGAGTCCGCCACACTCGCAGCCGGGTCGGCAACCCTGCGGTCAACTCCCCGTAGTCCGCGCTGGGCGTCAGTGGGTGCTGCTGGGACAGCGCCGCCGTGTCGATAGGACCAGCGGAACGGCGACCCATGTCGCGCGCTGGCATGGCCGAACCGGCCTGAGCCAACTCAAAGGGGCTGCATCATTCAGGGAGCGGTCTCGATGACCCGTGGTGGCAAATGACCTCAAGCTCGAAGGCGCAAAACTCGGTCTCTTGCAAACTCTCCTCTCCGCGCGGGTCGTGCCCCAAACAAAACAGAAAAAACTGCACAAACCTGAACTTTTGGCGCTCCCCGCGGATTTCTGGGATCTGCGCTGGACCCCCCCTTCCCTGGCGCGCGGAGCGCGCTAGGGGCGGCGCCAGAGGCGCCGCAGGGGGGCCCAGCGCGGATCCAAGAAATCCGCGCGCAGCGACAACAGTTTATGCTTATGGCGTGTTTGCTCTTCGACACACGCAGGGTCCATGGAGGAGGCCACACCAAGGGGGGCTTCGGAGGAGGAGGAGGAGAAGGAGGAAGAGGAAGAGGAGGATCAGGAGGAGGAGGAGGGGGAGGAGGAGGAGGAGGAGGAGGAGGAGGAGCGCGGGTGTGTTCTCCACACCTCTGCCGGGACGCTCTCCGACCTCCGAGTGCCGACGCTCGCGGGGCAAACAGCGCTGCAGTCCACCCGTACGGCGGAGGCATTGAATGAAGAATATTTTTTAAATTAGGCAGCATAGAGGACAACTTCGTGTAATATTCACCTGCTCGTGATAAGCACGTACACTACACTCGAGAGCTGACAGGTCACTAGTGCCTCGCTGTCACGCCGCAGAGCGTGATCCCACTGAATGAGGAAGCCTTGGATAAGGAATCCGGGGTCTGGAAGCCAGTGGAAGTCCAACTGTGTATCGGCCAGGGGTATCGCCACCGCCCTCATCAGCTAATGAATCCTCCGGGGTCTGAAGCCTCCTGGGCACATTCCTTCACCAATGCCCCCCCCCGTATCATAAGGATGCGCGGAAAAGATGCAAGGGGCTAGGAGGCCCATGTTGGCGTCTTTCGAGCGGGGCTGGCCAGCGAAAGTCGCCAAGGATGGCCGAACGGGGCAAGGATGCACGGATACCCTTGGGAAGGTTGTCCATCCTTCATATGCGGGTTGACTGTGTATGAAGGGGCCCTGCGACACACAAATAAATAAACACACATAACAAGATTCCCCATATTTTCCTATATCTTCCGGGTTTTTGTCTTCCCCCCCACTTCCCATATTTTCCCATGTTTTCTGGGGAGTCGGCGATGCCTTGTCTGTGTGTGTTTTCCCCCTCCTGGGTGTAGGCCTGGCGGATGCCTTGCGCACTGTCTCGGGTGCACGTCGGTGAAGCCGTCGGCAGCCTGACCGACCCACACGCGGTCCGCGCGGGCGCGAGGGCCTCACGGGTCGCGTGCCCGAGCAGCCCTGCAGTGTGACACAGGCGTGGCAATCCATCGAGAGCCACGCCTGCGCCTAAGATTATGCTGCTCCCATCGTACTTAAGGACCACACCCCAGAAATAAGTTCGAGCACCAGGAAAAGTGTCGAACGAGTGTCGGAACAGTGCCGAAACAGTGTCGGGCGAGCGTCTCCCAGGGCCCGACGCGTGAAAACCCTAGAGTTTCGGTACTTTTCTGGTGCTCGAAATTCTTTCTGGTGGTCAAGGCTAAAGTAGGTTGGAACATCATAAGCCTAAGTAGCTGAATGGGACGCACAGGGACATACTAGTACTATATGTCCGCCTTGGAGGCGCGCGTCCGACCCGAACATGTAGTATGCCCATCTTGTAGTATATCGTTTCTCGAGCGGTGCGGCCAGAGAGCGCCCGCCACGACGCATATACCATAATATTTCTCGGTACGCGCGTCACCCCTGGGGGGCGACGCACATATTGTACAAGAATTTGGGGGTGACGCCGATAAGAAGCTGAATAGAATTCACTCTGCGATCGCAACCTTCCGATCCCTCCTCACAGCATGTACGATACACAAGCATCCGAAGTCCTAGATAAGCCCTTAGCGAACACCTTGACAAGGAAGGGGGTGCGCCGCGAAAACGTCAACGAATCACAAGGCCTGGGTAAACCCAATTCCTGTGCAAATCTCCAAAGTCTTCAACACACCGATGGCTCGTTTCTAGCCGTGACTTCCTCCGGACTCCAGTGAATCCCTGCTTTGCTCTGCAACTCCAGCGTTACAAGCGTATGTTATCCAAACTCGGACAAGGAGGGAGGAGGGTGTCAGGATATCTGGACGACATTATTGGGCCCCCGATCTAACTTCACATGGTGCTTGGCACATGATCGAACCGGACGCAGCAATGACGGTGCAACTCCTCCCACCTCCCCTCCAACAACTTCTGGGGGGCCCCACCGGCCCAAACACATTCCAAACGTGCCGAAGCACTTACTCTAGAGGTCCGTGCGGATTTCTTGGATCTGCGCTGGACCCCCTCCCTGGCGCCCGGAGGGCGCCAGGGGCGGCAGATCCAAGAAATCTGCGCGGAGCTCCGAAAGTTTATGTTTATGCAGTTGTTTCTCCTTCGAGGCTCCCCTCCTGCTGCTGGTGCTGCTCCTCCCGCCCCCTCTGCTCCTGCTTCTCGTTGCTGAGCGGAGTGCTTCGGCGACTGTCCAAAAGTGGGCCCGGACCCCCCCCCCCCCGAGTGTCCCGCGCGGGATCCTGGTCAGTTTCCAGCCGTGCTGGACGCACCTCCTCTCTGCCTCCTCTCCCGCCTCCTGTTTGACCCGAGCCTCCTCCCCCGCCTCCTCCTCCTCCTCCTCCTCCTCCTCCTCCTCCTCCTCCTCCTCCTCCTCCTCCTCCTCCTCCTCCTCCTCCTCCTCCCCTATTCTGTTCTAGTTTAGGACGTGGGGCGGTGCCTGCCACGCCTAACAAAACCACGTAGCCAGCTCGATGAAGGGAGGGATCCTAGTCCTCACCCTCCTCAGGAGGGTCCGACTCCCCGTCCCGCGCCTTCCAAAACTCGAGCTGGTCAGAGGGGACTCCGAACCTCCTGAGGACCTCCTCACGGAACCACCGAGCCCCCCAGACGGGCACCTGGGCCCTAGGCGAGGCCCGCACGCCACCAAGCACACGAAGGGCCGCCAGGGCCAGGAGGTCACCTGAAGGGGGCTCCCGCAGGGGCCCGAGCCGCCTACCGGGGGGCCCACGAGGGGAAACAACCCCTTTTCCACGCCCTCGCCAGCTGCCGCCCCGTGTGCTTGGTGGGCGGCCCGCCCACACACGGGCGCGCCAGCGAGGCGTCACCCCCCCACGCATAACCCCCGCAAGGGATGCAGACGAGGGCGGTGGGCCCCGAGAGGACGGTGGCCCCGTGGGGGTCGGAGACGGCAGCCGCGCGCAGACGGTGCCCGAGAAGCTGCAGCAACAGCGCCAACTCGGGATCGTCTCGAGAGCCGCTGGCCTGGAGGCCCTGGGGCTTGAAGCGGCCACGCCCACCCGAAACAAGAACACAGGGCAGGGGCGGAGGAGCCAGATCCGAAGGCCGAGGGCGGGTCTTTATTTCCTCCCCCGCCCCCGCCCGCGGGAGGGCATCGGCGTCCCAGGCCGAGGACTCGGCCAGCCGCACCTCCTGCTGCGCGGCCCAGCGGGCCGCCTCTTGGACCATGAGGTCCAGGGCTCGGATGTCCGCGTGGGCCGACGCGGTGGAAGGGTGACAGGCTGCTCCGCGGCGAGCAAATGTATCAGCCAAACAATTACCCGCCCGCTCCCACTCCGTCGTCCGCCCCGCCCACACATCATGAATCGCCGAGTGGCCTCTGACTTTGTGGGCCACCAGGCCCGAATCGAACCTCGAAGGAGTTTTTGCCCAGAGGTGCGCCCAGGGGTTCGACGAGCAGGTGGCGAAAGCCTGTGACAAGGAGCAGTCTATCGTTCCCTGACAACCAGTGTTTTTTTTATAAAAAACTCGACTTCGCATGCAAAGAAGTAGGCTGCGTCCTCCCCGTCTCGGGCCTGCTGGAACGGGGCTAGGTCCGCTGGGACCGCTCCGAAAAACCCAGCCTGGAACCTACCCAACTCATCAGTCATCACGAGTCCCCAACCCGCGCGCCGAGAATACTCACAGGACGGAAAGAGGGCGGATCCACATGTGAACACTATGCCCTGCAAGAACACTGACGCGGCCGAGACGATCGGGGCAGGAAGAATGTCGAACGGCGAGGGGAAGATGCCGCAAGCAGCGAGCTCTGACTCCATGCCCCACTCTCGCAACTGGTTAAGGACCGACCTGACGGGCAAACTGCGCATAGTCCACCTGTCGACCTCAAACGCAGGGCCATCAATTCTACGACGCATCAGCGCGCCTGGTGCTCCAGCGCACGCTCGACGCACATTCGAGGAGGCCAGGCCGTGGTCGCATAACCGCTGCTGAGGCCATTGCGCCTGTGACGCCAGCGAGCGGAGAGAGAGGACTGGTGGTGGGACGACCAACGCGGCGACTCTGGCCCCTCCATCAACCGCCGCAGCGGTCGCCAAAAAAACTGGTCTGAGTCAGGCTCGCAGGCGCTGGTGCTTGGCGAGCGAGGCTACGTCGGATGCCCCCGACGCCGCTCTCTGCGAGCGTGCGGACGAGGCTGGGCGAAATCCTAAGCAAGTCGAGCTGCTCCCCTCTCCCCGAGACCACCGCCCGAGCCGACCCCGCCCTCCACCCCAGATCGGCGAGTGAGAGCAGCCAGACATGGTCGGGCGACGTGGCGGCCCCCCATTTCGAGGCGGCCGCCTGGAGGTGGCCCCGTGCCGACACGGAGCAAACCTGAAGAATGTCCAGCGGCGGGGGGCCCTCCCAAACGGCGCGCGCCCGCGCGTAAACAACTTCGCCGTGGCACAGCCTGGCTGGGTCCAGCTGGGCCCCAAGTGTAGAATTCAGGAGATGCAGGCCCGTCGAGGCCGCCCTCTTCCTGCGAAAGAGACTGCGCGCGGCCTGGAAATGACGAGCGCGGGGCTTCCTGCCAGGCAACCCCGCGACAGCTGAACCCCAAAGGCAAGCCGCTTGGGGCCCCGCGCGGTGCACGGCGCCTATCTTCGCGCCACCCTCACGCAGTCTTCTGGGGCGCCCCGCGCGGCGGAAACCCTTGCACATCCTGGGCGG